CAGGTATGCATCCTGAACGTAAAAAAACACCCCCAAGAGGAGAGTCAAGCACTGAACAGATGGATTCCAGCCTGTTTGCCAGCACAAAGCCATTCCGGGCCTACAGATTCCAGGTTCCTGGACCAGGTAAACCTGTCCTGCGGGGGGATCACAAACCAATTGGACGAAATTCTCAAAATCATGCTGGCTCAGGTACAAGGACAAAAAAACCCTTGGCGTGTCTGGCACTGCATAGCAGAAGATGGAAATTGGAGGGAAGAAACCTCTCAAGAGGATAAGAATTAAATGTTTGTCACAGCCAGATACAAGAGTGCAGACCTACATGATGGGAACAGGGACAGTCCACAGGCCTAAAACAGCAAGGATGACCCCCTACCCTAAAGATGGGTGGTGTTAACTTTCACGGTGAGATGGACTTATCCACAGCCATGCTGCCCCCCCCCACCGCAAGAGGCTGCCACAGGTCTACACCCAGGACCGAAATTGCCACCGGTGAACACTGCGCCCCAAAGGGATAGTGGGCACTGCACTACCTGCACCTAGCTCCACACAGAAGGCGGCACGGGGTATGCTGATGGGCAAAGGGGACAAGCCCAAGTGAAAAGAGCAGGCGAGAGCCTGCCCAGTACCTAGCCACCAACAGGAGAAGTCCACCAGTGACAGGTAGTAACACCTGAAAGCAAGGTCAAATGCCCTCAACAATGGAGATCACTGCAAACCAGCAAACAACTGCCCATCTCAGCCCATCCACCAGAAGAGGGCGCCGGACTTTTGAGCTGCAATAGCAGTATTTAAGTAAAAGCAGTGCCATCAATAACCTGTCAGGCTCCGCAGCTCAAAGACCAGCGCCCGTCCATCTCTGCTCTGCCCCCTGGACACAGCTGCCCAGCTGCCACCTCCCACGCCAGTAGGCCATAAACCGCGGCCTCCATTGCCAGCAAGCCCGACCGCATGGCTAAGAGGAAAAACCCCAGCCAGTGCAGCAGTCAGAGGGGACCCCTGTTGCAGAGGGAATTCTCACACGGTCCCATGTTGTGAACGCTGCTGAGCCAGTAGCACTCCAGTAACTGCAGTCGAAACTAGGGGGTCACCCTCCCAGCCATGACCATACGCAGGAGAGGCAGAAGAAAACCTTCCCCAGATGAGCCCCACGAAGCCATGAGTGTGATGGTGGGACTGGAGGGGTGGAGGCATGTTGACTGACTTTCCTGTGCCTGTAGGGGTGGAGGGGAACCCACAGGGTCGACCACCCCAGGGAGTACCTGCGCCTTACACGGGGGAAGGAGGGGGCAGCTATTTGCCGATCCATGCAAAGCTCCTGTGACAGATCTCCTCCTCTCCACCAAAGTGGGGGGGATGCCGGCCAGGAGTAACACTGTGATACAGACTATAGGCGCCCAGTCTTGTGGGTGTCCTCACAAGATGTTTAACTCTCTGGCCGCCCTGCTCCAGGATGGGCCATGTTGTGGCCGACCTAGCGCTTGGCTAAAGGTCTGCGCATGCTCACTGGCCAGACTTTGATGGCCACTGGATCTAGATTACCCAGCCAGTCACACAGTCCAGCTGTTGATTTGAAGATCTCCGCAGGAAAAGGAAAGGCTATGGAACCCAGGTCCTTACTCCTGAACACTAGGCAGAAAAACTGGACTATGACTGGGGGGGGGGGGGGTTAGGTATGCCAGATGGGACTGCTCGTAGGCGATGCCAAGTTCTTTTCTACCTAGTGTAAAATAATAATCCAAAAAATACATTAAAAAAAATCCCTGCTGCTTATGAAGCAAGTGAAATATGCAATAACAGAATGTTTGGTAAAGCAAAGGGACTGGGCATTCATGTAGTGAGCAAATCCATTAAAACCAAACTCTATCAAATAATTCCAAATGTATTATACAAAAGTTTAAAAAAAAAAAAAAAGTAATGGTAGTAACCACATCCATGTGTTGTACCCAGATAAAGTTAACATCTATAATACAGAGTATTCCTTTTTTTACAAAAACTGGTCTATAGGAAGCTTGACGCTTTTAGAAAACACTTACATTCTTCTGGAGCACATGTGAACATGTACAGTCAGGTCCATAAATATTGGGACATCGACACAATTCTAACATTTTTGGCTTTATACACCACCACAATGGATTTGAAATGAAACGAACAAGATGTGCTTTAACTGCAGACTGTCAGCTTTAATTTGAGGGTATTTACATCCAAATCAGGTGAACGGTGTAGGAATTACAACAGTTTGCATATGTGCCTCCCCCACTTGTTAAGGGACCAAAAGTAATGGGACAATTGGCTTCTCAGCTGTTCCATGGCCAGGTTTGTGTTATTCCCTCATTATCCCAATTACAATGAGCAGATAAAAGGTCCAGAGTTCATTTCAAGTGTGCTATTTGCATTTGGAATCTGTTGCTGTCAACTCTCAAGATGAGATCCAAAGAGCTGTCCCTATCCGTGAAGCAAGCCATCATTGGGCTGAAAAAACAAAACAAACCCATCAGAGAGAGCAAAAACATTGGGTGTGGCCAAAAACAGCTGTTTGGAACATTCTTAAAAAGAAGGAACGCACCGGTGAGCTCAAACACCAAAAGACCCGGAAGACCATGGAAAACAACTGTGGTGGATGACCGAAGAATTCTTTCCCTGGTGAAAACACCCTTCACAACAGTTGGCCAGATCAAGAACACTCTCCAGGAGGTAGGTGTATGTGTGTCAAAGTCAACAATCAAGAGAAGACTTCACCAGAGGGTTCACCACAAGATGTAAACCATTGGTGAGCCTCAAAAACAGGAAGGCCAGATTAGAGTTTGCCAAACGACATCTAAATAAGCCTTCACAGTTCTGGAACAACATCCTATGGACAGATGAGACCAAGATCAACTTGTACCAGAGTGATGGGAAGAGAAGAATATGGAGAAGGAAAGGAACTGCTCATGACCCTAAGCATACCACCTCATCAGTGAAGCATGGTGGTGGTAGTGTCATGGCGTGGGCATGTATGGCTGCCAATGGAACTGGTTCTCTTGTATTTATTGATGTGACTGCTGGCAAAAGCAGCAGAATGAATTCTGAAGTGTTTCGGGCAATATTATCTGCTCATATTCAGCCAAATGCTTCAGAACTCATTGGACGCTGCTTCACAGTGCAGATGGACAATGACCCAAAGCATACTGCAAAAGCAACCAAAGAATTTTTTTAAGGGAAAGTGGAATGATGGCCAAGTCAGTCACCTGACCTGAATCCGATTGAGCATGCATTTCACTTGCTGAAGACAAAACTGAAGGGAAAATGCCCCAAGAGCAAGCAGGAACTGAAGACAGTTGCAGTAGAGGCCTGGCAGAGCATCACCAGGGATGAAACCCAGAGTCTGGTGATGTCTGTGTTCTAGACTTCAGGCTGTAATTGACTGCAAAGGATTAGCAACCAAGTATTAAAAAGTGAAAGTTTGATTTATGATTATTCTGTCCCATTACTTTTGGTCCCTTAACAAGTGGGGGAGGCACATATGCAAACTGTTGTAATTCCTACACCGTTCACCTGATTTGGATGTAAATACCCTCAAATTAAAGCTGACAGTCTGCAGTTAAAGCACATCTTGTTTGTTTCATTTCAAATCTTTCAAATCCATTGTGGTTGTGTATAGAGCCAAAAATGTTAGAATTGTGTCGATGTCCCAATATTTATGGACCTGACTGTATGTCCAGAACAAGGTCAATATATAAAAACCAGTGTTAAAAGACCTTGTCTTGTACAGTAGAGTTCCAATGAGTCAGCAACCTGATGGAACAGCAGGGAGCATGTAGTGGATCATAGGCGCTAGCAGGTACCAACAACTGTCAACCCACATCAGTGTATGTATGCTAAGTAATTTGGTGTAATGCTAACAGGTATTTATCCTGCAGAAATTATAGTACTTTATCTTGCAGCGCCTTCACTCCAGAAGTACTACACTATCTTCACGTCATCATTCAGGGTCCACATCTACAGTATTTCCTGGACTGATTTAGAAATGATACAAATATGTAAATCCTGGTGCCTGATCAGTTTGTGGCTGTGTTCACAAATATCTAACAGTCCCCAGTTGTAGCCTTTCATCTGGTGACTTTGTTACTAAGTAACAATATTGCACTGTGATCACTGGTTAAGGGGGAAACCTGAGAGTTTTCTCCTGACTGTCGTCTGTCCAGACAGGCAACTTGAACTGGAGGTCAAGGTAGCTTTTTGTAATAAACAGACTTTTTTTTTTTTTTTTTTTTTTTCTTTTAATGACACTGTTGCTGTTAATCTTACATGACTTGCAAAGTTACTGAAGCCTTCTCTTTTAACTGGCTACAAAGGTATTGCTAGGGATGCACCAATACCGAGTATTTTCATGAATACTCGTGAAAGTGCTCCTCATAACTAAAACCGATACTTTTGCTGTGCAATTTGCATCAACACGAAATGTATGGATACAAACTGCACCACAAAGAATAGCCTGCGATTTGCACATGAATGCGATTTTTGTCCAAATCTCATGCAGTTTCCCCCCACTGCTCCTGTGTGAATCCAGGCTTGTCATAGCCCGAGTTTCCACAGGAGCGGTGTGGGAAACCTCCTCGCACCTACTGCATACTGTCACAGAATCCCCCAGTTTTCCTTCCGTGATAGTATGGGATCAGTGCAAGGAGGTTTCGCGCACCACTCTGTGTGGGTTCAACAGGAGCAGTGGGGAAACCACATGCGATTTGGACAGGAATTACATTTTTGTTCAAATCGCATGTTATTCTTTGTGGTGCAATTTGTGTCCATATATTCTGTATTGATGCAAATCTCACCACAAAGAATTGGTACTTGGAATTGGTGAATACTTAACTGAAAGTATCTGTACTCGACTATAAAAAAAAAAAAAAAGGGGGGGTATCGGTACATCCCTAGGTATTGGCTTTCATAACCTGTAAATTTATTTACTGTTACTATGATTTAACACATTTAAAAATTTTTGCTCTAGCTTTTGTTAAAACAAAAATGTCATAAGTAAATCTGAAATTACAAATTCTTTGCTTTTTTTTAGTTCTGAAACCATTAAGGGAGCAGTCATTGGGATAGACCTGGGTACCACAAATTCATGTGTTGCTGTTATGGAGGGAAAGCAGGCAAAGGTAAGTTTAGCCATGCGATGTTGCTTTTGACGCTTGAGCTACAGGCTCACATGCAATCAGTGCATCAGTAGTAATTTGTGATGACTAACAGATGTTGCCTGATTTACATAAAAGGTGTTCTAAAACTAAGCAAAGAGAAATAAAGAAGGATGCTGTTGCTAAATTTCTGAAATATTAGTTGCCAGTTTTTTTGTTTTTTTTTTATCTGCCTTAACCACTTGCCCTCCTGAGGATTTACCCCCCTTAATGACCAGGCCTCTTTTTGCTACTCGGCGCTGCACTAATTCAACTGATAATTGCGCGGTCATGCAATGCTCCACCCAAATGAAATTTATGTCTTTTTTTTTTTTTTAACACAAATAGAGCTTTCTTTTGGTGGTATTTGATCACCTGTGTGCTTTTTATTTTTCACACTATAAACAAAAAAAACCCAATTTTGAAGAAAAATATTTTTTACTTTCAGCTATAAAAAAAATATATAGTAAACTCAAAGTTAGTTATAAATTTAAGCCAAAATGTATTCTGCTACATGTTTTTGGTATATTGGTATATTTTTGGTATTAGTGTATATTGATTGCTTTGGGTGAAAGTTATAGCGTCTACAAACTATGGTATAGATACTGCAATTTACGCCATATTTTTTGCTATACAGCACTGCACTAGTTTAACGGACAATTGCGTGGTCATGCAATACGGTACATAAATTAAATTTGTCCTTTTTTCACACAAATAGAGCTTTCTTTCGGTGGTATTTGATCGCCTGTGCGGTTTTTTTTTTTTTTTGTGTTATTAAAAAAAAAAAAAAAAAAGGCTGACCATTTTGAGAAAAAAAACCATATTTTGGACTTTTTGCTATAAAAACATGTCCAGTAAAAAAAAATTTAAAAATCAAATTTAGTCATAAATTTCGGCCAAAATGCATTCTGCGACATGTCTTTGCCAAAAAAAAAAAAAAAACCCAATACGTGTAAATTAATTGGTTTTCGTGAAAGTTATAGCGTTTACAAATGGCGGGAAAGATATTCGGATTTTTTAATTTTTTTTATACTAATAATGGCGGCGATCAGTGACTTATGGCAGGATTGCTGGACTGAGGCAGACATTCTGACACTGGGGGCGAACTGACTTGGGGTCACTGACATCCCCAGTGACACCAATACAGTGATCAGTGCAAAAAAAAAACAAAACACTGACACTGTACTAATGGCAGTGGGGAGGAAGGGGTTAACTTTTTTATTCACTGAAAGGGTTAACTGTGTGAGGGGAGTGTTTTTACTAGGGGGCAGGGGGTGTGTACTGCACGGGGACATGCTGATTGGGAGAGAAACTCTTCTCTCCTGATCAGCGTGTCAAGAGCTGTCAGGGAACTGACAAAGTAGAGCTACTGCAGCCCTGCTCTCTGTAAGTGATTGCCACTAATCGTCGGGACACGGCCGGTACTGACCGGCCGTGACCCGGCGACTGACACCCGCGGCCGGGGCCGGGATCGGCGGTGCAGGTAAGGCGGTGGCGCGCCTCGCGTATTTCTACAGTGGCTGGGCGGCAAGTGGCTAAAGTGGTTGTAAACCCTTGCATATACACGGTGAAGTGACTGGCCTCAGGTGATAGAGGTGAAACCAATACACTACAAATGTCGTACCTGTTTATTTGCAGCCCTCTTCTCCGTATCCGTTCAAAGTCCAGAATTTATAAAGCTTGTCTGAGAATTTAGAAAAAAAGGGCAGAGAGCTGAAGTCGCACTCTGCAGAGTTCAGTGAGAAGATTTCTGATAGCCGTTTGGAGGGAAAGGACACACACAACTTACAGGAACAGAGCTGAAGCTGTCAGTCCGCTGGAGGCTCCTCCCTGTCACCATTTTTCTCATGGTATCAAGAAAACTTGCAGAAGTAATTTATTCAGAGGAGCGAAGTGGCAGACAGAAATGACAATTTGTGGTCTTTAATTGAGACAAGTACACAAATAGAGGGATATGCTTTGTTCATATTTCATGTCTGAAGTTTACAACCACTTGAAAGGATATGTTCAGCTTTCATAACATGTTACACCTGTATCTAGGGGCAAGTTCCACTCAAGTACTATGAATCACCAATATGAAATTATCATGGAGCAAGAGAAGTCAGACTTGAATTGCACATAAGTGGGTCAAAGAATTGAAGCAATTTAATAAAGAGATGTAAGGATTTCATACAGGTTTCTTGCAATACACAAGCACAAAATGGTCTGTTGGGTTTAACTTGGCCTTGCAGTGGCTTTAAAAAGTCTACGCACCCCTGTTTAAAATGTCAGGTTTTTGTGATGTAAAAAAATGAGACAAAGATAAATCATTTCAGAACTTTTTCCACCTATGTGAACTGTAAACCGTACAACTCAATTGAATTTTTTTTTTTTTTTGGAGGGGGGGACATACAAAACTAAAATAATGTGGTTGCAGAAAAATGCAACTGGGGATGTATCTGTGTCAAGGATTAAGCAATCGCATTCAAAATCATGATGATAAATAGTCAGTACACACCTGCCATCATTTAAAGTGCCTCTGGTTAACCCCAAATAAAGTTCAGCTGTTCTAGTAGGTCTGTCCTGACATTTTCTTAGTCGCATCCTACAGCAAAAGCCATGGTCCACAGAGAGCGTCTGAGGGAGGCATCAGAGGGATCTCATTGTTTAAAAGATAGTCAGGAGAAGGGTACAAAAGAATTTCCAAGGCATTAGATATACCATGGAAGACAGTCATCAAGTGGAGAAAATATGGCGCAACAGTGACATTACCAAGAACTGGACATCCCTCCAAAATTGTTGAAAAGATCAGAAAACTGGTCTGGGAGGCTGCCAAGAGACCTACAACAACATTAGAGGAGCAGCAGGAATATCTGGCAAGTACTGGCTGTTGTGGTACAGTGAAGGAAATAAGTATTTGATCCCCTGCTGATTTTGAATGTTTGCCCACTCCCAAAGAAATGATCAGTCTAAAAATCGAATGGTAGGTGTATTGTAACACAGGATAGCAACACAAAATTCAAAAGATATGCATGTCTAACAAATTATGCACTGATTTTGCATGTTCATGAGGGAAATAAGTATTTGATCCCCTATCATTCAGCAGGATTTCTGGCTACCAGGTGTCTTTCATACGGGTAACAAGCTGAGATTAGAAGCAGCCTCTTAAAGGGAGTGCTGCTAATCTCATTTTGTTACCTGTATAAAAGACACCTGTCCACAGGAGCAATCAAACAATCAGATTCCAAACTGTCCACCATGACAAAGCCCAAAGAGCTGTCCAAGGATGTCAGGGACAAGATTGTAGACCTACACAAGGCTGGACTAGACTACCAAACTATCGCCAAGCAGCTTGGTGAGAATCATTCGCAAATGGAAGAAACACAAAACAACTGTCAGTCTCCCTAGGTCTAGTGCACCATTCAAGATCTCACCTCATGGAGTGTCAGTGATTATAAGAACAGTGAGGAATCATCCCAGAACTACATGTGAGGATCTTGTCAATGATCTCCAGGCAGCTGGGACCACCATCCCCAAGCAAACAAAACAATTGGTTGAAAGTGTGGTCAGATGAGCATGACAACGACCCAAAGCATGCATCCAAACAACAAATGAATGGCTTCACCAGATAATTAAAGTTTTGGACTGGCCCAGCTAGAGCCCAGACCTGAATCCAATTGAAAATCTGTGGGGTGATCTGAAGAGGGCTGTGCACAGGAGATGCCCTCGCAATCTGACAGATTTGGAGTGTTTTTACAAGGAAGAGTGGGTAAATAGTGCCAAGTCAAGATGTGCCATGCTGATCGACTCATCCCCAAAAAGACTGTGTGCTGTAATAAAATCAAAAGGTGCTTCAACAAAGTATTTGTTTTAAGAGTGTACATGCTTATGCAACCATATTCATTTTAGTTTGTTTTTTTTTTGTTTTGTTTTTTTCACCTAAAAAAGATTTCAGTTTTTTGTTAGTTTACAGGTTACATTAAAGGTGGAAAAACTTCTGAAATGATTTGTCTTTTTTATATTCACTGTATATTATTCAAATCCAGCAGAATCCTACTAAATCAGCCAAAATTTAAATCTTTGAGAGGCCCTGACTACCTGGCTCGATGAAAGTTAAATTTTTAAAAAATCAACAGGCAGGTGGAAAATTTAGGCAGCCAGCAGTTGTGATTACCCTGGATGAACCCTTGTAGTTTTCAGGTCTCAAGGGAACACCTGCTAAAAACAAAGTCTTCTGGGGCCATTGGGATAAATACCTCTTTCCTTGGTTGTCAGCGGGAAGAACGCACACCGTAGTACTTAGAATTCCATCCCTACAGATGGTTAAAAAGATCATTGGTGTGACGCTGGCCCTGAAACTGTGCAGACCACCATCAAATGGTAGGTCAGTTGGCCAGAGGTCAAGGAACCCCTAGATTCCTTTAGAGCAGGCATGTCCAAAGTCCGGCCCGCGGGCCATTTACGGCCCGGGGGTCGGTTTAATACGGCCCTCAACCAGCCCTCCCTGCTCTGTGTAAGGTGGCCCTCCCACAGCCCTCCCTTCTATGGCAGACAGTCTTCTGCTTGAGAGCAGAGGGCAGTGCGCATGCCTGACTATGGCACGTTCTCCCTGGTCTGTGTAAATGCGGCTGTCGCACGGCCCTCCCTTCTGTGGCAGACAGTCTTCTGCTTGAGAGCAGTGCGCATGCGTGACTGCGCCGCGCTGGGTGCAACAGAGGGCGGTGACGTCAGGGCCGGGCTTCCAGCGTGAAGTGTGTTTCTCTTCCCCTCCCGGCTGCCGAGCAGAGACTTCAGCTCCAGCTACCTTTTTTCACCCTTCACATTAGTGCAGGTAAGTTTTTTTTTTTTTTTTTTTTTTTTTTTTTTTTTTTTTTTTTTTTTTTTTAATTTATTTAAAATACATTGTAAAAACTCAGCTGTCAGTTGATCTTAATGTTATGAAATGAAAAGTATGTCGTTTGCAATTAACTTGGCATAAAATAATTTATTTGCATTTAATTGTAATG